GCTTGTGAGCACAGCTTCTCCTGATCACTTGGTGAATAAAGCTGTTCAACAGTCTAGTGGAACGAGCCTAGAGGCTGTGGTACTTGCTCCCCGAAGGCAGGAGACTGAGGAAGGACTGCGAGGGATGAGCTGCTGATGGCTCTATGGGTGAGGCAGACGGTAAAAATGTCCATATCAAAAGGAAAAGGGTCACCGATAATGTCTTCTGGCAGGAGGTTGTGCAGGCTCCGTACCACACAGTGATAAGCCAGTAAGAACCCTCTCAGTGGTTCCCCAGTAGAATAGTGGGAGGTGGGACTCGTGCGCTTCTCAATTCACATAGGAAGCAGAGGTGAGTTGTTTTTTTTATTTTTTATTTATTTATTCAAATCAGGCAACAAAGTATATATCTCATTTACATTGACATAGTTTTTTTTAGCAGAGGTGAGTTTAAGCGTTTTTGGTCAGTGGTGTCATCGAACTAGGAGAGGTCCTCAGGATATGCAATCCCAGGAATTTGGTGCTTGAATTAACTGCCTTGATTTAAAGTGATTATTGTTTCTATAACGGTTGACCAGATGGCTCCCCTCATTCCTGTTGTTGGCTTCATCATTGTTTATGGTAAAAACATCCCAGTCCCACTGTCTGCAAAGCTGACAGTGGGACTGGTGCTGTAGGTTGATACACAGTCATGAGCCAGTAGCGTGAAGAACAGTGAGCACACACCCTTGTTGAGACCAGTGCTCAGTGTGATGGTCTTGAAGGTGTTATTGTCTTGGTTTTGAGTCACAATCCAAATGATTGTGTTGAATGCTGAACTGAAACTGAAACACCATCTGCACATGAGAGTTCTTTGTATTCAGGTGGGTGAGGGCAGAATGGAGAGCAGCGGAGATGGCGTTTGATATGTTGTCTGTTCCACCTGTCTTACGTGGTTAATCCTGCAGAGGGTCCTTTTCACAGTATCTGGGGTCAGACACATTACCTATTTACCTGTTAGGGAGTGGTCTTCTGTGCCAGTTTGTTGTATGGTGTTCCAAAGTGCCCAAAGAAGTCAATTAGGGACTCTTCATTTCTTAGTAAGTGAGCAAATTTTAAATTCAGCAGGGGACCAAATCATTATCTGTTGGTACGCTTACTCATGTGTTAATCAGAGATGGGCAGTAACGCGTTACTGTAATCTGATTACTTTCTTCAAGTAACGAGTAAAGTAAGGGATTACTATTGTAAAAACGGTAATTAGATTACCGTTACTTTCCCGTAGGAACGCTGCGTTACTGCGTTACTAAAACCGTGACTTTTTGCGAGTGTCTCATGACAGTGACGTAAGCGAGTGCGACGTTAGTGACAACAGCTGTGTGCAGATCAACAATGGATCACATATCGAGTGCAGAGAGAGTATGAGCGTGCAGCGTTTAAAGCGTGGAAGTACTGACCTTACTTTGAGTTTGATTCCATAAAAAGTGACAAAAACATTAGTGTCCGTTGTGCGTGGGAAGAAAACTTCTTTTTACAGCGAAAAAACCCCTAAACTTCCAACAAGCACCGAGTAGCTACGACGTAATGGGAAACTCACAGAGAAACTCGCGGATTCTTCCACTGACCGCGGCACACCTGCACCAGGGTAAACCTCCGCCTGCCCCACTCCTGCTTTACAGGTGAAAATAGAGCAACAGGACCGCTGAGTCTTTGACTTTATTTATTTTCTGCTGTGTTTTACTTGCATCTATTTGAAAGAGTGAGTGAAAACACAAAAAATATTTTATTTTATGTGCTGGAATGTGCAGAAAATAGGTTTAAATGTTAAACTAATTTATTCAACTCAGAGAATGTTGCAGATAATTAAATTTTTGCTTGATGCATAAAGTTAAAAGATTAAAACTAATAAAACAAGTTTAAAAAAGAGACTTTTCCATTTGATGACATTTTGTATGATGGATTATGCAGAAAAAGTAGAATTGGGCTGAGAGATCTATCACTTTATCACCTACTCAGGTTGTAAATCGTGTTTTTAAAAAGTAACTAAGTAACTAAGTAATTAATTACTTTTGAAAATAAGTAATCAGTAAAGTAATGGGATTACTTTTTTGGGGAAGTAATCAGTAATTAGTTACTGATTACTTTTTTCAAGTAACTTGACCAACACTGGTGTTTAAGTGTTGTGGTTGAGGTGTCGTATGGCTTGGTGGTAAAAACTGTTTTTGAGTCTTGTAGTCCGAGCAGACAGACTCCTGTAACGTCTGCCAGATGGTAACAAGGAGAACAGCTGATGTGCGGGGTGGCTGTGGTCCTTGATGATGCTGTGTGCTTTACGGAGGCATTGCTGGAGATAAATGTCCTGAATGGCAGGAAGCCTCGTGCCAGTGATGTGCTCTGCTGCCTTTACAACCCTCTGTAGTGATTTACGGCTGCTGGCAGAGCAGCTTCTGTACCAAACTGTAATGTAGCTCGTCAGCAAGCTCTCGATCGCACACCTGTAGAAATTTGAGGTGATGTTGGCGTTCATGCCAAACTTCCGCAGCCTCCTCGGGAAGTAAAGCCGCTGGCGAGCTTTCCTGATAGCAGTGTCTGTGTGAAGGGTCCAGGAGAAGTCCTCGGTGATGTTGACTCCAAGGAACTTGAAGCTGCTGACCCTTTCGACCTTGACACCGTTGATGTGGATGGGCTGGTGTTCTCTGACTGGTCGTTTCCGGTAGTCCACCATCATCTCTCTAGTTTTGCTGATGTTGAGAGTCAGGTTATTTTCCAGGCACCACTCGTACAGCCCCATCACCTCCTCTCTATAGGCCATCTCATCGTTGCCTGTGATGAGGCCCATGATGGTTGTGTCATCCGCAAACTTGATGATGATGTTGGACTCTTGTTTAGCAACACAGTCGTGTGTGAACAGGGAATATAGGAGGGGGCTAAGCACACAACCCTGTGGCGTACCTGTGTTCAGGATGAGTGGTGAGGAGGTGTGCTTACCAACTCTCACCACCTGGGGCCTGTTTGTGAGGAAGTTTAGAATCCATCTGCAGATCGGTGTTCCCAGCCCAAGGTCGACGAGCTTCGTGGCAAGTTTTGAGGGGATGATGATGTTAAATGCCGAGCTGTAGTCGATGAAGAGCATCCTTGCATATGTATTCCCTTTCTCCAGGTGAGTGAGGGTGGTGTGCGTTGCCAGGCCGATGGCATCCTCTGTGGCTCTGTTTGTCCGATAGGCAAACTGAAGAGGGTCCAGTGTGTCAGGGAGGGAGGAGCAGATATGACCTTTGACCAGCCGCTTCAGGCACTTCATGATGACGGATGTCAGTGCAACAGGACGGTAGTCATTCAGACAGGAGACCACTGATTTTTTGGGAACATGAATGATGGTGGATGCTTTGAGGGACGTGGGGACCACTGACTGCCTCAGGGAGAGGTTGAAGATGTTGGTGAACACCTCTGCCAGCTGGTTGGCGCATGCTCTGAGAAGCCGGCCTGGGATGCCGTCCGGTCCTGGAGCTTTGTGAGGATTGACCTTTTTAAAGGTCCATCTCACAGCTTCTGTTTTCAGAGTTAAAGTTGCAGCCTCACTGTCCTCCTGAGGGTAGAGGATCTGCTCTCTGTTGTCTGCGTCAAAACGAGCATAGAAGTTGTTGAGCTCGTCTGCGAGAGATCCAGCGGGCTGAACACTGACTGTGTTGACCTTCTTGTAGTCAGTGATGCAGCGCAGTCCATCCCACAGTCGCCTGGTGTCAAAGCTGTGGTAGCTGGACTCCATTTTGTCCCTGTAGTCCTTTCTGGCCTTTTTTATGGACTTTCGGAGGTCGTACCTGGCTGCTTTATATGCATCAGCATCCCCGGAGTTAAAGGCAGAGGTCCGCACTTTTAGCTTGGCACAAACAGCTTTATTTACCCAGGGCTTCTGATTGGATATATGCGGACTGTGGTTTTTGTGATCATCCATGCACTTTCCAATATTATATATCCAAGATTAGTGTTTTGAGTAAGTGCTACATAATTATCTCAGGTGAAGTGAGAGTGAAATTTCTATTGTAGTTTCTCCAGCATTTTTTTTAAATTGAAAATAGAATAGAATAGAATTCAACTTTATTGTCATTGCACATGCACAGGTACAGGGCAACGAAATGCAGTTTGCATCCATCCAGAAGTGCTTTAGCCATGATATAGATATATTACAATATATATTAGCAATAATATAGATATGTGAGTATATTACAGAAATGGGTCTATTATGGTATGTTATAATGTACACGGTATGAAGTATGTTGTGAATATTCTATAACTATAAGTATGTACAGGCTGTAGTGAGTACAAGCTATGTACAGGATATAAATATGAAATAAAAAAACTATACAGAAGATGAGATATACAGTTATACAGAGATGTGAACTATGCAGGTTATAAACAGTTGTAGGGTTAAAAATTATCGTATGTACAGAATGATTATTTACACAGAGCTATACAGTAGTGCAGTTAAGATAAGTGAGATATGTGGATAATTTCTACAGAGGCTGTATAAAGTGCTGGTGGTTGTGAGTGGTGGTTCAGTCCATGTTATCATTGCTACCACACTGTGACTAAGAATAGAACACAGTCCTGGTAGTTTCCTGCAAAAGTACACAACATGTTTATCTGTTCAAGACTTTTCTGTTGCTATAGCACACTAAGTGGCTGTTTCAGGCCAGTTTCCACCTTTACAGTGGCAAAAAACGTTTTTATTATTTACTATTTTAGGCCTATTCTGTACTACTGAGTTGGTCTGTTTTGTGTTTTTATGTTTTTGTTTTTGTTTTGTTTTTTAATTTTGCTCAGTTTATAATAAAGCTCAGTTGCTCAGGTTGTGTTTCATGTAAGACTGACAAAGCTGTGACACCATGAGTGCAGTAGGTTCCTTGCTTCACGGCTGACCCCTCACTGCAATTGTGAATTTGCTGTTGGAAATTAAAACCACAAGTAAATAATCCGTTGTGTGGCTTCACACTTTATAGCTTTAAATAATGTTTAATGATTCATCCAGTCCCTTTTCTTTACAGGCTGCGAGAGTGACTTTTGGGGTCCACACTGCAGTAACCGCTGTCAGTGCCGCAACGGTGCCAAATGTAACCCAATCACAGGAGCGTGTGTCTGCACTGATGGCTACCAGGGCTGGCGCTGTGAGGAGCCCTGTGACCCCAAATTCTATGGCAAAGACTGCCTGCTGGAGTGCCAGTGCCTTAATGGCGCTACCTGCCATCACCAGACTGGCGAGTGCCTCTGTGCACCTGGATACACTGGGGCCTTGTGAGTTGAGTAACATTAAATAGGGCTGCATGTCTTTCAATATGACAAACAGCATTTGACTGTTTTAAATGCGTATGATTTTTTTAAACAGTTACAAATCTGAATATTAGCATACAAAGCAGTATAACATATCCACATTTTCTACACATTTCTATTTCAGTCTAGTCTAAACGTAAAAACAATGCTTTGGTGTCCATACTTTCAAATTTGGGCAGAAAATTATGTAGCAGCATTACAATCTACACTACCAATCAAAAGTGTGGGCACACCTTCCCATTTAATATATTTTCATGACTATTTACATTGTCGATTCTCATTGAAGGCATCAAGACTATGGATGAACACATATGGAATTATGTGGTAAACAAGAAAGTGTGAAATAACTCAAAAAATAACTCTTCAAAAAAGCTACCCTTTGCTTTGATTACTGCTTTGCACACTCTTGGCATTCTCTCAATGGATTCTCTCCAGCTGCACCATTGCACACAAAAAGGCACTTCATGGGGTCATTAATATGGTCCAAAAAAATCACTGGACATCCTCTTCCCTCCCTGAAGGACCTGTACAGCACTCACTGTCTCAAAAGGGCATGCAGCATCCTACTGGACTGTACACAGCCAGGACACCGGGTGTTGAAGCTGCTGCCATCTGGCAGGAGATTCATGCTGCTGAGGCAGACTTTTTTTTTTTTTTGACTTTTTGGGGGAAAAATAATAATGTGCAATAAACATTCACTTACTGTTTTTGCCCGTACCTTTCTTGCACTTTTTTTAAAGCCACTTTAAAGTCCACTGTGTTGTGTTTTGTTGTGTTGACTTGTGCTGATATGGGACAGTTTCCAATTTCACTGAACTATTGTAGTAAGTAAGACTGTGCAATGACAAAAAAAAGAGTCATCTTATCTTATGAGGTCGTCACCTGAAATGGTTTTCCAACAGTCTTGAAGGAGTTCCCAGAAATGCTGAGCTCTTGTTGGCACTTTTGCCTTCACTCTGCGGTCCCTCTCATCCCAAACCATCTCCATTGGGTTTAGGTCAGGTGACTGTGGAGGCCGGGCAGCACTCCATCACTCTCCTTCTTGGTCAAATAGCCCTCACACAGCCCGGAGGTGAAGAATAAATGATGGTCCAACTAAACGCAAACTGGATGCGATGGCATGTTGCTGCAGGATGCTGTGGTACCCATGCTGGTTCAGTGTGCCTCCAGTTTTGAATAAATCCTCAACAGTGTCACCATCACACCTCCTCAGTGCTTCATGTTGGGAACCATGGGTGTAGAGATCATCTGGTCACTTTTTTGGCGTCGCACAAAGACACGATCGGTGGAATCAAAGATCTCAAATTTGGACCAGACCAAAGCACAGATTTCCACTGGTCTAAAGTCCATTCCTTGTGTTTCTTGGCCCAAACAAATCTCTTCTGCTTGTTGCTTTTCCTTAGGTCATTGAATAGAAAGTGATATTTTTCAGTGTTTCAATTTCACGCGGTCTCCTCTGAACAGTTGATGTAAAGATGTGTCTGCTAGTGGAACTCTGTGTGCCATTGATCTGTGCTCTAGTCTGAGGTGCTGTTACCTCAGCACCAGAAGTGACTCTTGGTCTTCCTTTCCTGGGGCAGTCCTCATGTGAGCCACTTTTATTGTAGCTCTTGATGGTTTTTGTGACTGTACTTGGAGACACATTCAAAGTTTTTGCAATTTTTCAGACTGACTGTCATTTCGTAATATGAATTCTAGCATTTGTCAAATAGAGCTGTCAGCTGTGTACCAACCTGACTTCTGCACAACACAACTGATGGTCCCAACCCCATTAGGAAGGCAAGAAACTCCACAAATGAACCCTGACAAGCCACAGCTGTGAAGTGAAAACCATTTCAGGGGACTGCATCATGAAGCTCATTGAGAGAAGACCAAGGGTTTGCAGCCATAGACCCGATATGTGTCATCCTTACATTAAGACCAGATGAGACTTCGGCAAACAGTATCTGGTTCATCCAGGTCAGCTGCATCTCAGGTCCTGTGTTATTGGATTGTTTCCTATTTCTGGAGGACATGACTTTCAGTTATTGTTCATCTTTAGGCCTGCCATTTCTTCTTTTATCATTGACTTGTTCAGATTCCTCAGTCTCTTAAGGACACATTGCACACAATGCTGAGATAATTTTTGGCCAGCAGCCCTTTGAGAATCACCTTGTTGGTGATTGTTTGCCTTCTCTCTTTTCTCTGTGTCATTGTAGGGTCTTTACCTTACAGTTTAAAGCACTTTGAGGCAACTGTTCACAATTGAATTGAATTGTCAGATTGTGTTATCTTTGTTATAGACCACTTTAAAATAAAAAAGAAAAGAAAATGAGAGCTTCCTCAAGCCTCGCATCGTACTGTAAATAAATTGTCATGTTCCATGTCATTAAATCGATCTGTATCATATGCTCTCATTTCCCCTTTCCAGCTTTTTTAGGATTTGCCATTAAGCTGTCAGGTATAATGATGATTTGGGAAGTCTATAAACATATCACAGCTTATTCCTGCCACTGAAAAGAAAGAATTAAGCAGACATTATTTTCTCAGATGTTTGTTAGTAAGTTTTGATATAAATATTTTCTTCAGAGTGACAACAGTTGAAATTACTTTGATTTCTAGTGCTCTTCTATATTCTCTTCTGATAAACTCTTTCATAAGTTACTGAAGTAACCTAAAGTGTAGCTGTATTAACCTTCCACTTGTCTGTGTCGAACCTTTGAGCTTTGTCAGTGATTAAAAGCTTCACCGCTTGACGCGAACACCTCTTCCCGCTTTCTGTCCCTCCAGCTGTGAGGAACCTTGTCCTCCAGGTAAACATGGCCCCCTGTGTGAGCATCACTGTCCCTGTCAGAACGGTGGAACATGTCACCATGTCACTGGGGAGTGTTCCTGTCCTGCTGGCTGGATGGTGAGGACTTCATGACACATGCAAAAGCAGATAAGCATCATACAACTAATCTGCCGAAAAGAATATTTAAGGATTAGCAACAGTTAAGCGCCATGATACTGTATTATAAAATATACCTTCTTAAAAAACTTTTTTCATGCCACATTTTAAGTGACAAAAATTTATCAATCATCATTTTCTCAACATGTGGCACTGGCTGCTGGGTCACACTCTTCATTTTGTAATAGTTTGGTCAAATGTTTGTTTGTTTGTTTGTTTGTTTTTATCTGAATTAACTGCCAGGGAAATGTTACAATAGCAGAAAATTCTGGTATTTTTGTGTCCTAGGCTCTGTTTTACCATTTGGGCCTAAATTATTCTGAACATGGGACCAATGCAGTACATAAATGTTCTGCATTGGTCCTATCTTGAGCTGAAATACTGTGTCTGTGAAAGTTTTCAAGGTAAATTAGTTTCATTTATTTGCTGTATTGTAAGATTAACATTTAGCTTCACTAATTCTGCAGCAAGCCTCTCTTCTTGTAACTTGAACTTGAAAACAGGAGTGTTTCCATCTATTTGTGGTACAGTTGCCCACAGCTTTAGTCTGTTCCTGCCCCCACAGTAGTCTTTGAAAGCTTTACCAAGTGTTGCACTTTACTGTGCCACATTTTAAATTAGGAACTAGATTTTCTTATTGCAAGTTAGTTTGATTTAGTTAGTTTCAATTAACATTAAGCTATGATTTCCATGCAGCAGCCTGTTTTTATCCCGGGGTAAATATTCACATTACAAATATGTCAACCAGAGTCAGTATTTTGTCCTGCAATATGTGAAGCTCTGGGAGTGAGCGTAGGCTGTAATATATCTGTCTATTTTACACTAATGTCTTCCTGCAACAGCTCACCTCCCATGACATTTCTCTTAGTCACGTCGTCGTTTGCATCACATTGTCAGACACCAAGTACTTTTACTTTGAAGTGGGTAGTTACCACATGGGATTACATTGCAGGTATCCAGTCATAACAGTCTTGCTTACTATTTATTGGACTGATTCCAGAGATTTTTGCTCCTTGTTTTACTTTAGATGGAAAAAATGAGACATCAGAGCCTAGTTTTTCAAATAACAGAATCTACCTTTAAAGAATTGTGAAATGTAAAGTTGCATATATTAAACTATTTGTCTTAGTTTAAATTAATTTGAGGTTTTTTTTCCATAAATTCAAGTTTAAATCCAGGCCATAAACATGAACCAAGGGTTTTTCTTGGACTAGAGAAGTTTGAAACTGCTCACTGGATACTGTTGACATTACTGTCATTACCTAATTTGCTAATAATTAATATGTTTGATATGTCGCTTCCTTCCGAGACATGTTTGATGCGCATGTAAACGTGATATATTCTTCTCCATCAGGGTCCAGTGTGTGCCCAGCCATGTCCATTTGGATCTTTTGGCATTAATTGCTCCCAGGAGTGCACGTGTCGTAACGGAGGGCTATGTGACCATATCAGCGGTCAGTGCCAGTGCACAGCTGGCTACATTGGAGAAAGGTACAGCCTAAAATGATGGTTGTAAGATGAAAGTTTACTGTACTCCACGGGGAAATTGGGTGGTTGCACGTAAAAATTTTATTTGAAGACCAGCAGAGGGAGAAAAACATGAGCAACAATGATGAGCAACATGCAATAAACAGTAAATACAGTGGCCAGATACAAATACTACAGTATGGCAATACAAATTTTAACAGTTATCTTTGACTGAGTTTTTTTTAGGTTTCTTTGTGTGCGTATATTAGTCATACGCAGCATAAACCATTATAAATGAAGCATTCAGAAAGTGTTTTCATTTATTAATCTATGACCATCTTCCTGTCTTTAGTTGTTAGAAGTATTTCTAGAGAAATTGGACGAACTGATGCTAATGTTGGACTTGTTCTGTTGCTCTCTAGAGGTAAAGAGTTTTCCTAAAAAAGTTTAAGGGGGATAGCATGAAAGTATTTAATATTTTCAATAAGCAATCAAATGCTTTTCCTTTAACAAAGTGAGAGTATTCAATTCCTTTACTGTAACTATTCAAGGATTTTTATTTGGAAGATTTGACTCAGACATGCTTAACAGAATAACTTTCTGTATCAAAATAAGGGCTTTAATTCTGAAATGTTAACAAATTGTAATGGCTAATGGGCTTCCATTAAAAACTGAGGGCGTTTTTATTAACTTTAAAGCTTTCTAGCAGTAAACTAGCAGAGAAAATTCATAACTACAACGTTTTTCAAACAATGCATGCTGCCATGTTCAACATAATGTGCTCTTACTACAGCAACTTGTGGCATACAAAGCTCTCCATAGAACACACTATATATGACAAAGGATGTTCCAAATAGGCGTCATATACTCAAACATATGCACCCACTGTATAGACAGTCATTAGAAGAACTACATGCATGCTATATGGTCTTGTATGCCTGTTGACAGGCTCTGGGAAAGGATATGTGAACACCTATCGATTGTTGCTAGCTGTAGCTTGTCTTAGACTCAGAGCAGTTTGTCTTGTCCCATTTTTGTGATTGGCTTTGACGCAGCGTGCAGGTGAGCCCCAAGACTTGGGTATGGCCTGGATTTGCTGCTGGCATGGGAGGGAAGTGGGGGGTGGGGTGCACTTCAAAGGGGGTTGATATGTGTGCATGGGTGTCTTTGTGTCATTGGTGGGTGGGTATGTGTGAGTGAGTCAGTCGGTGGGTTGGGTGTGTGTGTGCGTGTCCATTTGTCCAATGTGTCCATTTCAGGCTTTGTCTCTTCAATGCCTGCAATGGACACTCATGCAGACGTTGCAGTAAGCTGCAGTACCAGGAGAGAGATTTCATTTCAAGCCAACAAAAAAGAAAATCAAAAACAAAATAAACACAGGAGTGCATTTTAAAGTGAGCCAACTTCATGGTTTGTGACGTAGAAGGACCATGGAGTGTACCTCACACCTTATTTGTTTCACCAATGTTCACATTTTGGACAGAGAGGACAGATGGTTTGAAAGAGGAGTGAAAGAAGCATCTATGTCCACTGTGAGCGACCATCTTTGAACAGCGGCGGTGGTTTACGACACCAACTCTCTGCCATCTATAATCCAGTTTTGAGATCCTCCCCAGACGCCTTGATGCCCACTCACAGTGGTAGGTTTCATAGTGGGTTCTACACCCGTTTTCACACCTTGGCTCGTGTGATTAGGTAGAGCAGAGCTTCCCAATGTGTGAAGCCCGCCCCCTGGGTATCCCACATTCTTGATTTTTAGTTCACAAACACTTGTTGTAATTTCATTTCATTTCATTTATTTATTTCACACTTGGTACAACAGATCAAACAAACCAACCACACTTTCTATCAATAAAGCACTACAACCATGTGTGAAAAATGACTAGTTAATGAGTAGTTAATGACTAACTACTGCTGACATTTTGGAGATGTGAGCTCTTTATAGAGTAAAGTTACAGCGGGATACAAATAACATCAGGCTGATCCTGCCACGATTTGTCTAAATCAGGGACGAACAGGATCCCACAGCTGTTTATGTTTTTGAACCCATTTTGCACAGAGAGGCATTTTTTGAAAAATGTATTGACAGCAATGTTGAACATTATTACAGAGGAAAAAAACAACTACATGTAAAATAATCACATCGTGACGCCTCTGCCTTTGTAAATGGAGGGACAGCAACTGCGTGTTTATATGTAAGCGTGTAAAACTGAAGATAGATTAACAGTATTTCGTCTCTATCTGCCATTCTGCAATTCATCTCAGGTAAACAATAACGTGGTGCACAGCGTGACGTGAAAAAGGCACATACCTTTGACGTCCACACGTGAACGCAAAAAAGGAGTTTAAAAAATCTCAGTTTTCGGTGATTCGAAACACCGTTTACGTGGACGAAACAGCTGCGTTTTCATAAATACCCGTGTAGGTGCGGACGCAGCGTAAAAGAGTTAGTAGTTTATTTTCTTGCTACCTGTAATTTATTGCAGATTACTTGTATTTGCTTAATTGTTTATTAAATGTTTGAGGTGTGAAATAAACAGCAATGGAGCTGTGGGGGGGAAATGTTTGGGAACCACTGAGGTAGAGGGTCATTAGGGGGTCCATTGTCCCTCTTGGGGGGAAACTCCCCCCCAATTTTTGCGTGTGTTTTGTGTGTTATACTTGTATAACTATGCATGTGACAAATAAAGAACCTTGAACCTTGAACCTTGAATTGAACTCCCACGGGGTTTATATCTGGGACTCTCCACCATTTGACCTTAGAACTGAAGAAGCTTCTTGGATGAGAGGTGAAACGTCTTCAAGCAACTTAAAGAAGTCCAGACACTTTTCTTTCCAAGCTCCTTAGACTACCCTGACCTGGATGACTGAGAACCTTCACAGACAACAGCTCAGACTGTATCATTGAACCCAGCCACTAAAGAATTTTTTATTCTGCACCCCACAAAATGTCTTTAAGTATAGACTATAATCTTACTTCTGCTAAACTGGTTCAGTGTGTTCAATCAGCTAATATCCTCCCAAAAAGTCCATTTGATCATAATCCAATTATTAGTCAGTTTAACTTTTCCCCCACCCAGTGTAAACCGAACATATGGAGATTTAATGTTACACTTTTAGGGAACAAAGAATTTTTGACCAGTTAAGCCATAAACTGGAGGAAGTCATCAATATTTATATTGGCAGTTTTTCTTATTCAGGTTTCTTTGTATGGGCTGTCGTTAACGGTTTCTTGAGAAGCAGCTTTGCTCTTATTGTCACAGGACTGAACGCACTCAAGTGCAGACCAAGGTTTCTTTTCAAAATGAAAGTCAACAGTTTATTTACAGAAACACCAAGTGCAATATACACAACATGCAGCGGGCCGGGGTTCCAGGGATCTGTGGGAAGGAAGGAAAAAGGTCCACACACACACCTCGCCACTAATCCACTCTCAGATAATCAGGAAATGGGAACAGGTCCAGTTTACTGTACTGTAAACTGTATTTCCCTGGATCCAGGGAAAGAGTGACAAGAAGCACTGAACCGCCATCTTAAATAGTGGCCAGCTAATCAGGCAGATCAGCGGCAGGTGAGTAATTAGGCCAGGTGCATGGGCCAAGGGCGGGAGCCCGAGATGAGCTCTGCCCAGAGCTCTGACGGAGGAGAGAGACAGAAAGAGAGGGCACAATAATAATAGAAACATCTGGCCTGGCATTGAGCCAGCCAGGGAAGCACAGAGACCATGGCACTTATTACAAAAAATGCAAAGAATGTGAGATATATATATATATATAATAATAATAATAATAGAAATATATAAAAAAATATTTACCTCACCTTCAGAGATGATACCTGTAAAACTTTCTTTGCTCAGCTATATTTGTGAGAATACTCGCTATCTGAGGAGGAAACAGAAGCTTTCTTTAAGAATATTCACCTTCCAGTTCATTCTCCAGAACACGTAAAAACCTGAGATTCTCTGAGAACTGCATTATGCCCTCGAACTTACCAACAAAGGTCGTTTATCAGGTATTGATGGAAAACCTCCTGAGTTATATTTGACACTTTTAGAAATGCTGGAGGAGTGTGGTAATTACCGACCCATTTACTTAATAAATGCAGTTGTTAAACTATATGCCAAAATATTAGCTGCATGCCTTGAGACAGTGCTGGGCAAACTGCTTCACAGTGATCAAACAGGCTTTACAAAAGGAAGATTGTCTTCTGACAACATAATGTTATCGGTGAGTCCAGAAGGTCCCAGTCTCAGACTGGACTTTTCTTCTTTGATGCTTCTTTGTGTTTGATCGATTGGAGTGGAAATATTTATGGAAAGGTCCCAAATTTATTAAGATGATAAAAATGTATATGCTAACCCTTCAGCTAGTATCTGCATTAGAGTTTTCCTCATCTATATTTAGTATACTCTGGTGGAACAAGACGGGGATGCTCACTCTCACTACTTATTTTAATTGCTCCATACAAACCTTAGAACTCCCCCCCCCCCACTTTGTACTGTAGGATATACACCATATTTCATTATACCCTGATGAAACCTTAGTATACATATTGGCTTTTCAGTTGTCCTTGTCCACACTGTTGAACATCATAGGTACTTTTGGCAAACTGTCAGGTTGTAAAATCAACCTCACACAATCTGCCCCTATGTTGCTTAATTCAGACTCTCAATATCCAATTAGATGTCAACATTGTGCAACTATTTATATAAATATCATATATATATATATATATAAATATTATATATATATATATATATATATATATATATATATATAATATTTATATATATATATATATATATATATATATATATATTATATATATATATATATATATATATATATATATATATATATATATATATATATATATAATATAAATTATTTAGGTATTCAAATAGTGTCCTCTGTAGCTTCTACTTTTAAGAACAATTACTCTACTATTTAAAAAAATAGAAAAGTTCAGTGCTTCCTTTACCTCCCCCAGTTGATTACTGGAAAAAACTTGACTCTTTGTTTAAG